AAATGCCTGCACTTACTAAGAGGCTATAGACTTAGCCCTTCTCAGCAATACAAGGATCTAAGACATCTCCAAAAGTCTCATGATGGAAAATGCTCTCCACATCCAAAGAAAGAACTTCAGAGTCTGAATGCAGATGGAAGCCTACTATTTGCTGTTTTTTTCCTTCTGTTTTGTTTTGTTTCCTCCTTCTTGTGGTTTCTCCTATTGATTCTAATTCTTCCTTACAACATGACTAGTGCAAAAATATATTTAATAGGAATGTATATGTAAAGCCTATATTAGACTGCAGGCCATTTTGGGGAGAGGAGGGTGGAGAAAAATTTTAAACTCAAAAGCTTCTGGAAGTGATTATTGATAAATCAAAATAAATTAACAAAAAATTCAAAAAAAGAAAAAGGAAATAACCCTCTCAGAAGCCTGTGTCCCAGACCAAATGGAATTAGTAACCCAAGTGATTTTTTTAATTGTAGACAGTTACTCAAAGAATATCCCTAGCAGAATACCTACCCAGATTTCCCAATTTATGGCTATCATTTCCATTACCAGGAATCAGCCCAATCTCATCAAATTCTATCAGGAACACTTTGCCCTCTGTCATTATCCCTTCCTACACCTCACTGCTACATTTCCTTGGCATACATAATCTACTTTTTTTCCATTCTGATGGTAAGTGATTCAAATCAATGTATCAAGATGACCCTAATAAAGTAATAACCAAAAGACAATAGCAAAGCAATTGCAATGATATAGCAGAAACATCAGATGTTGGCTTCCCAGCATGAGATTGCACATCTCTTCAAGGTTATCTTTGCAGTGGTAGTTCACGTATTTGACCTGATGAAAAGGGAGACCTGTTATGGCTAATCTGTAAGCTCTGTAAGGATTGAGTCACACGTTTATCTTTTTTGATTAAGTGCTTGCTATCTGCCAAGATGGCAGATCTTGGAGGCACAAATGGAAAAAATGTTCTTACGGTAATGGCAGGAGATCACACGAAGCTAAGGCACAGGATGGTTGACAGGATTCAGAATTCCCAAGGATAAAGTGACAGAGACAAAAGCACAACTCAGAGGTCCTTAAGTTGTGTTCTTGGGCAGCTAGGGGGCACCACAGTGCACAGTGAACTGGGTCTGGAGTCAGAAGACCTGAGTTCAAATCCAGCTATGCAACCCTGGGCAAGTCATTTAATCCCAGTTTGCCTCACTTTCCTCATCTGAAAAATGAAGATAATAACAGCAACCATCTCACAAGGTTGTTGTGAAGCTCAAATGAGATAATTGTAAAGTGCCTAGCCCATAGCAAGCACCATATAAATGGTGTTGTGGTTTTTTTTTTTAAATGCTTTATCTTTTCAATAGCTCAGATGGAAGTGTTGAGAGTCTGGGGGATATAGAAGTAAGATAGACAGTAAGGTATGCTGGTCTTCCATATCATTGGAAGGAATAGAGTTGTTTGGTCATAGTGAAATGGCAAACAACACCTTTGTATTGTTCCAACAGCCATGGAGGTGTCCTTTGGTAAAATAGCTCAGAGAGGGCTCTGGCAGTGGCTTTAGCTTCTTCAGCTATTGGGATAGTCTGTACCCAACAGTTATAGTTGATATAGCTACTAGCCATTCTTTACTTAGGGGCAGTTAGGTGGTGCTGTGAATAAAGAGCTGAGCCTGGAGTAGAGAAGACTAATCTGCATGAGTAGATCTAATCTCAGACACTGACTAGCCGTGTGACCCCTGGGAATTCACTTAACCCTATTGTCTCAGTTTCCTCATCTGTAAAATGAGATGGAAAAGGAAATGGCAAATCACTCCAGCATCTTTACCAAGAAAACCCCACATGGGATCATGAAGAGCTGGATATGAGTGAACAACCTTCTTCACTTGTGGGATTCCCACCAACCTTGTCTAGTGCCTAAGCTACAGTCATTAGTGAAAGCAGAGAACCATCAGACAGGGAAGTCATTCCCAACCATCCCAAGTTTGGCTGCTTTCTGTTGACTAATTAAACGCTTTATGTCTCTGGACCTGTTTATGGTTTCTGTGCATCCTTAGCATCCTGCATATTTTTTACATGATGAAATTAAAGCTATCCCCCTTTCCAAACCCATATTGCACATTGTGTCCATTTGGAATTGAAAGGTCATGTTATTTACCTTTGAAGAAACCGTGTCATGAGCTGTGCTTAAATTGTACTTTGGCAGTAGAGAGAACCTGACACTCTTGGGATGAGATCCCTAGGATCAGCCCTGGTCCATCTGGGTCCAGAGTCTTTGCAATGACATACACAGAATAGAGTCCCTTCTCTGCAGAACAAGAACACGTGAAAATGGCGATCTTAGTGCCTCTAAGTCATCTCTTGTCCAAGCTAAACAAAACCAGTTCCTTCAACTGATACTTGAATGATACGATTTCCAGCCCTTCCACCATCCAAACAAATTCTCTTCTCCAAACAAGTACTCATTGATGTGGCCTCAACATGATCTTCTTCAGATGTGGTAGAGCTTTTTTTGCTGGGTCCTCTGGCGATCCTTGAATCCGCATCCAGAATATACTTGGCTTCCAAGGTAGATATTGCCAACAGGGGCAACAATCCCAGGAAAAAAAAATTTGGATATCGATATATACAAAGTAAGTCCAAAATCCTCCTGAGAGCAGTAAGGAAGCTTGAACAGTCTGTCTGGCCAAAGGAGGGAAGGAAGAAGGATTTAAGCTGAAGCTTAAGACATTTCTTCCTCCTCTTCCAACACCACAAAGCAATTCCTTCTCTGGGGAGGCTTTTTTCCCCTCTCTATCATCAGATATTCATGGAAAATACCTAATTCAAATCAGCAGCCAGGTTTTAGACAGACCCTGGGGGTTTCAGCAAGTTCCTTAGCCCATCCAAAGTGACTCCCTGTCATACTTAGAATGTTCAGGCCTAGTGAACAGTCCAAATGTAATCTCACCTCAGAAATCTACTCACAGTTTGGCAGCTTGACAACTATTTTAAATGGGCTAGAGCAATTTGATTAATTTACTCAATCCACCTCTACTTTCAGCTAAACATATGTGGAATAAATATAGGGAAAATAAACACAAAGGAGCTAAATACAAGAGAGCCAAGGAAGAGGGCACTAGACATTTAGGGGATCAGCAAAGGCTTCCTGGGGCATCTTGGTAGTGCAGTGGATAGAGTTCTGGCCTTGGAGTCAGGAAGAACTGAGTTCAAATCTGGTTTACAAAACTTACTAGCTGTATGACCCTTGGCAAGTCACTTTAAAAAAAATCTTTCTGCCTCAGTTTCCCCTAATAGCATCTACCTTCCAGGGTTGCTGTGAGGATCAAATGAGATAATATTTTCAAAGTGCTTAGCACATACTACTAACAATAGTTAATATTAACACAGGGCAGCTAGGTGAACATAGAGAGGTCAGAGAAGCATTGGAAAACATTGATGAACTGATGCAGAGAGGAGGAATCAAACCAGCGAAACAGTAAACAATGACAATAACTTGTAAATGACAGAACAACAACAAAAACCAAAGCCAGCACTCAGTTATTATAACAAACAGGCTTGTCCTCAAAGAGGAGTTGAGAAAAACATGACATCCTTCTTTGCAGGGCTGGGGGATTATGGATGTGGACCACCAGATGTGCTGTCTGACAGCTGCTATGTTGGTTAATGGTTGGTTAATCTTCAATCTGATGAAGGCTGTTGGTCCCTCTCCTCTCTTCTAACAGTCTTTTCCTTTAGCTATCTGAAGTGGGGATGGCCTCCTCTGTCTTTCCTCTCAAGGCTGGAATCCAGATGCCCCTTGAGAAATACAATGCTTGAAGAGAACTCTAGAAGATTCAAAGAGAACTTCAGAGCTCTCCTCTCACCCAGTCTTTCCAACACCCTTCATACAGGGCAAGTCCTTCATCTCCACCAAGCAGGAAAGAGTCCCATACAAATGGGCTTTGGGACTAAGGTTACATCTTTTTTACTCTTTCTTAAAAAGGATAGGTAAGAAGAGAGACATATTTGGAAATGAAGGTGATGGGAATCCAAGTTATCAAGGAACATGAAATGTGTGAGAAAAAATTTGAATTAAATTAAAATGTGTCCTTGGTCACTGGGTTACAGTGAGGGGCTTTCTAGCCCTTTACCCTTTTCCTCTTGCCCTAAGTGATTCCAGGAATGAAGATATGGGGTCAATTAATCTTTGGACTTTCATTCCATTAGCTTGACTCCCCCAGAATCTAGGACTGTGTTCCCATACTATTCTCAGATTCTGTAACACTTCCCCCTCAACCACAACCAAGGTCTTATTGAAAGGTATTTGCCCTTGCGTCTTTTCCCAGTATTATAGGAATGGGCAGCAGGAATCCTCCAGAAAAGGGACTCAACCCTGTGCCCCTCCAAGAATAAACCTTTGTCCCTGTGTCTTAGGAAGAGATCATTGCCTGTATCTCTCTGCTGCTTGGAAAAAACCAGACAGATGCCAGGAATCACCCAATATCTCATCAGCACATGTACTCTGACCTCATACTACTATTTTCCCCTCTTTCCACATTTCTCAGCTCCTTATCAGCTACTTTTCATTCCTGCCCATGTTGCCTCCCTTTGAAACTCAACCTATAAAGGTCCTGTCACTGTCAGGCACACTATCACACAGCCCTGACAGACAGGTAAGTGGAGGACCTGAGGAGGAAGGATCACTCAGGATCCCAGACGCTATGGAAGAGGGAGGAGGGGGCTGCCTTTGGGATAAGGGTTGGCAGGTGGCCGTCCTAGAAGTGTGATGGAGGGCCCCCCTGAGCCTTAACCCTACCATCCATGAGTTGGCCTGCTGTTTCCAGGGTCTGCAGTTTCCCATAGATCTGGGGAAGGGGAGAAGGAGGAGATGTCATGAGAACCTGCCACCAGGTCTAGATGGAAAGAGCAGGGGAGCACAGATGGTCTTTTGTCCTTCCCCTGTTTCCTGATCCCATCTCTGGCTCTCCTCCAGACTGAGGTGCTCTATACCTTAGTGTCTGGGCTTTCTGTCCCTTCAGACTCTGAGGCAATGGTGATGACCCACAGCTTCCCAGGGATGCTCTTGGCCTGCCTGCTGCTCACAGGCCTGGCACATGGTGAGTGCTTCTTCTCCCTCCTCCCTGACTTCCATGTTGTGCTTGGGATCAGCCCCATGTGTATGTGGAGAGGTAGAGGGGGAACAGACCCAAAGGGGAAAGTGCAGAGATCCTGATGTTGGGGATGGGAGGGGAAGCAAAGAAAAGAGGAGAGTAGACAATCAGGAGCTCAAGAGGACAGTAATCCCAGGTCCCCTGCTATCTGGTCCCTTCTTGTCCCTCTTTCAGGTGAGGCTGGCCCTGCTGCTGCTGCTGCCTCTGTTCGCCGGTCCTGTCCTGAAGGCTCCAAAGCATTTGGCTCCTACTGCTATGGCTTGTTCAGCATAGCACAGACATGGGACAATGCAGAGGTTGGTTGGGGGGAGAAATCTCCAAGTAGGGATAGGGATGCCATTTTTTTTTATCATGATGCCCCTTGAGGCTTAGTTATGGGCAATTAGCCTTTCCTCTTTCTCCTGTAGGGTTCTAGATTCTGTTTCTCAATTTTCTCTGATGTAAGGCCCTCATTTTCCCGAGTCCCCTGAATGTGTGATCTCTGTTTTGTCTCCTGTTCTCCACCCTGCATGAGGAAAGCTCTCTTCTTTCTTCCTCTACAGATGGACTGCCAAAGCCAGAACTCAGGCCATCTGGTCTCCCTGATGAATGAGGCTGAAGCTTCCTTTGTGGCCTCCCTGGTAACTGAGAATGGGGTCAGCAAGAACCCAGTCTGGATTGGCCTCTATGACCCTAACAAGGTTTGTCCTACAGACTCCTCTAGTGCCTCAGTCTGCCAAGGTTATTAGAGGAGGGTTGGGGGCCTGCTCAGACCATGTCATCCTCTTCTTCCTTGGAGCTCTATAAAGAGGGAATTGGGAGAATGTGATGTGGCTACAGAGGAGGAAGATCCATTTCTAGTGGTGTTTAATTTTCATGGCTCCATCCAGGTGTCTCTAGTCAGAATCATTCTGTCCAAGCTCTACTTCTTTCACACACACTCCATACCTTATTCAAACTCCTATTCCTCCACCTCGTGGCTATTCTTGTAATTGAAGGCCATAGTGTCCATCTTGGTAGAAATAAGACATAAAATCCCCTAACCCTTCCTTTAGAGAACCAAACAAATGGCAGATCAGAGAGAAATGTTCACAGTTGGTAAAAGAAGAACTTGGTGTTAACCCCTTGGAAACACATTAACAGCTCATCTTCCATGATATGTTCTCAGTTATATAAGGGAATGAAGCCAAGTAATGTAATATTCCTTCTGCTGATGTAAGAGAGGGAAGAGTTGATTTGCTCCCCATCCCTAGCCCAGTTCCTGTAGACACACAAAATAATCCCAGATGATGAAGTGTTAATGTGTTTCTATGGGGTTAAGGTCCTCTTTCTCACCATGTCTAAGAGGGACGTACCTGTAATATAGGACAGAGGCTAGTCTAGGACACCATTGGCTGGCCACGATTGTCTGAGCTGTAGATAAGTAGAACAGGGACAGATCAGTGTGGGAGAAATTAGGGAAGGCTTGCAGAAGGAGTTGGGCTTCTAGATGGATCCTGCAGAGGAGGACATCACAGACTTCAGAATCTACAGGCTCCTCTGAGGGCACCTGGTTCAGCCTTTGCACCAAATAGAATACCCACAGTACTAAATTCAATTGTACAAGCAGCCTTTCATAGAACACCACCAAGGAGAAGGAACCCATTATGTCCATTCTGATTTTGGACTTTTCTAATTTCCTGGAAGTCTTTTTTACATCAAGCCTAAAATGTGTTTGAACTGTACCCCCACTGTTTCAAACTCTGGTCAAGAGCAACAAGGCTAATCTGACTTCCATATTACAGTGTGTCAAGCAGTAGTATCTAGGATTTTGAGGACCTGATGATGAGATTGTTGGAAATTCTAACAGAGAGATAGTATCTGGAAACATTCAATGGATGAAGTAATGTGGGGAATTTTGAGAAGAGTGAGAAAAAGTTGTGTGTGTGTTTGGAGGGGTTCTCAGTCATGACTGCCTTCCCCCTACAGAACCGGCGTTGGAAATGGACCAGCAATGCCCTATTCACCTACCAAGCTTGGGCTGCGAGTGCCCCCAGCAACAGCAATCCTGGATATTGTGTGACCTTGACATCAGAAACAGGTGAGACAAAAGAGATTCACACACATCAAAATTCCTTGTACCACAATTGCATCCCCTCAGCCCGAACCTTCTGTATTTGCTAACAGGTTGGGGGATGGAGAATCCACTTCACTCACATTAAGGGGATATATGTTTGCTTCTTTCCTCTCTCCTCCTTGCATCTTGTGACCATAAGCCTCTATCTGTAGCTTTATTAGTGCTTAGGGGTTAGGAATGCCCTGAATCCTGGGTCTGGGTGTTGGGGTTACTTGGCTGTGTGGCCACAAGCTCCATTATACCTGCTTACATACATATATAGCCTGATGAATATATATATATATATACATATAATGTATATCTCTCTATATAAAATGTATATTATGTATGTAAAATATACAATATATAATATAAAATATGTATCTATTATATAGCCTGATGAATCACATCTCTCCTTAGGATTCAAAAACTGGAAAGATCAATCATGTACAAGCAAAAACTACTACATCTGCAAGTTCAAATCCTAGAGATTACAAGCCAGAGAAAGGACTTGGGAGTCTGCTTCTTTGGATCAAGCCTTGACCTATGAGGGGCCTGGCTACAGGTTCTCTATCCTCTCAGAAACCTCTTCTCCCTACCCTCCTCTCCCTACCTACAGGCTGGTATCTCCCACCCCTGTGTAACTGCCTGTCAGCTCTCTCCTTTGCCTTTACTTAATATCTCCTTCCTCCACTTACATTTTCTTGTGGGCTACCTGGTGCAAAACATTGGACAATCAGAATAAACCATTATCTTTCCCAGCCTTCTCTGTCTTGTATTATTTTTGTTTCGAGACTGGATTTTCAAGTAGGGCTATGGGGTGTGTGTGTGTCTGTGTGTGTGTTTCAGGGGAAAAGATAGAGATCCCATTGTATGCAGGAAGAGGTACTTTTTCTAGCCTCCTCCCAAAGGCAATATTCATTCATTCACCAAGTCTTTGTTGAGCACTTATTTCATGTCTGAAATCATGTTGAGTCCCCTGGAGACCACAGGAAACACCTATTCAGTGCTGTGGTTTGGGAAGCTGATTTTGTGAACCCAAGCTTAAGACTTCATACTTATCTCCATTAAATTTCATATAATTTGATTGGGCCCACCATTCTTCCACAATAGATCTTTTTATCCTTTCCCTTTCTTCAAATGTATAAGGGCTCTCTCTCTCTCTCTCTCTCTCTCTCTCTCTCTCTCTCTCTCTCTCTCTCTCTCTCTCTCTCTCTTTCTCTCTCTCTCTGTCTTTCTCTCTCTCTGTCTTTCTCTCTCTCTTTCAATTTCTACAGATTTGATGAGTATGCCTGCTACATCATCCTCCAAACTACTGATTTTTTATAAAAAATATTGAGATTCGCAGATTCTTTAGGAGACTAGCCAAGGGCTCAGATTCCTTAAATCTGGTCCATTTGCATCAACAATACAAATGCTCAGATTCTTAAAATCTAGCCAAGGGCTGAGACTTGCTGAAGCCTGCTTGTTAATACGAGTGTTACAAATGTTTAGATTGCTTAAGAGTCAGACCAATATGGTGGATCTTTAATAAACTTTGTCTTTGGAGCTTGGTCAGACACTGAAGACGCCAAGGTCATCCACTGCATCCTCAGCTATACCTGTCATCTTGACTCTGTCTTGCCCCAGGACTCTGATGACTCTGGAAGAGCGAGAGAGGCCAATGACTCTGTTTCACTTCAATCCAATTCAAGCATGTTCGAAAACAAAGGATGGACAACAATCCTACTGACCACGAGGTCTCTGCTCAAGCCTCACAGAAAGTTCCCTTCCCCCACCCTCTCAGCTGGGGACTTTGCCTCCTATTTTGCTGGGGGCAAAACGAGTTCATTCATTAGAGAGCCTCTTTTTTCTTCTTCCTCCTCTGAAATCACTGGCATCTTCCTGTACTTTCTTTTCATTTACCCCTCACTGGGTTAACTTAAAGAACTCAAGAGTGTATAAACCCCATCCCTTAAAACTGTGGGAAAATGTTCCCAAGCTCAATTGTTAAGAAGTTCTTTGTTGCAGCACATCTAAATCTGTACCTCTTTTACCCAAGGCTCCTAGTTCTCTCTTTTGGGACAAAGCAGAGCGTGCTTTGTCTTTCTGCTGTCAGCCATTCAGACGATAAGTATTTACTAAATGTCTACTACATGGCAGTCTTCCACCATCATCCTTCGAAGCCGGTCATCTTCTTCAGCTCGTTGTAGTCCTTGGCTGAGCACGTGCCTATAAGTGCTCAGCCAAGGGATCCCAGTGGCCTGGATATTGGAGAAGCCCAGGTGGACGCGCAACCCTGCCCTTTGCTGAACATCCCTAAAACATGCAGAACTTTCTCCAAAAAGGACACCAAGCACCAGCCTCAAAAAGTGACGCAGTACAAGAAAGGATTCCCTGTACGCACAGGGGAAAAGGCGTTACAATGAGGAGAGTTGCTCTGGTGGTCAAACAAAAAGAAATTCATGGAAAAAGGCAAAGACCACAAAAAAGATTATACCGAGGCTTGAATGTATGCAACCCAACTGCAGGTCTAAGAGGATGCCTGCCATTAAAAGGTGTAAACATTTTGACCTAGGACGAGATAAGAAGACAAAGTGATCCAGTTCTGAGTTTCATTGTTTTCATCTTAACAGGAAAAAAACATCCCTTGGTTTTGTGTTTTCTGTCTTGGAAAGGAAGAGGCTTGAGTAAAACCAAGTCTCCCACTGTGTGAAGCTTTTCCCATACAGGAAAAGTTCTTGAGGATGTCACTGAGTGTTGTAACTTTAGTCATCTAGTTAATGAGATTTATGTGTCATGGAGATAAAGCCCAGCTGGACATTTCTGGGGGGCCTGGGATCCTTGGTTGTTAGTACTATGGCTAAAATAGTTACTGACATCTTGGATTCCCAGGCAAATTGGGAATGGGGAAATTAGGGATACAAAGTAATAAAGACAGGGATAGTTAGCCCCTATTTATAGGCTTTCAGCAAATCAAAAGTAATTAATTCATCACTTTCAGGGATTGCCCTGTTTTCAAAATATTAATGAATTAGTTTCCCATATCTATTTGGGTTGTTAGGGTTCTTTGTGGAGAACTAATTAATAATGATTGAATTGAATTAAAGGGATGGTCTATTAACTGAAAACTCATTTGTATTAAAAGTATTAATCAAGTGATTTCCCATATCTATTTGGGTTGTTAATCCTCTACAGAGAATTAATTAATAGCGATTGAAATATCTGATCATTAAATAGATGGCCTGCTAATTGAAAACTGATATTAATTATATTTAGGGGTGGGTGGGAATGACAGCTGGTCAAGACTTGGAACAGTAAAGAATGGAGGTCATTGTTCCTTTATTTTACATTGGGGTTTTTTTTGGTTTTTTTTTTTGTATTACATAAACCCTTATTAGGCTTTAAGCCATCCCGAGGGCAGAATGTTTATCTGTGTTGATCTTTGTATCTTGGCACCATGCCCAGCACTGTGCCCTTCACACTAAAGATGCTTAATAAATGTTGACTCTTCCTAAAAAAAAAATGTCTACTGTATGCCAGACACTGTGCTAAGCACTGGGGAAATGAAGAAATTATTGGTAACTTTGAAGAGAATAGTTTCAGTTGGTTGATAAAATCAGAAGCCATATTGTTGGGGGATTATCATCATGATTCTCATGAAAGCAAGCTCCCTAGCTTTTCCTTCTGGAGAGACAGTCACCCAAGGAAGAAGGCAGCTTTAGGCAATATGACCCTCAACAGCTGAGAGAAGAGCCAGCTCTGGACTCCAGAAAGGGGCACACCCTAGAAACCCAGCTGAGCATTCTGCCCAGCAAAGAGCTTTCTGAGGACCTCAAAGGGACAAATGATTTCCAGTAGTGGAAGTTGTGAATTCTACTTTTCCCATTGGTGTATCCTACTATTACTCTCCTATATGGACTATAATTTGAGCTCACTCTTTCCATTGATGCTGAATGTTTTTGTGGGAAAGTATAACCAGGCTTTTGAGAGGAATGTTTTTTACCAACTGAACTCATACAATCTTAGTAAATGCCTTTTCTAAAACCTAGCTAGCTCCACAGCTAGGTGGTGCAGTAGATAGAGTGCAGGGCTTGAAGTCAGAAAGACTCCTCTTTCTGAGTTCAAATTTGGCCTCACACACTTACTAGCTGTGCGACCCCAGGCAAGCCACTTCACCCTATTTGTCTCAGTTTCCTCATCTATTAAATGAGCTGGGAAAGGAAATGGCAAACCACTCCAGTATTTTTGTCAAGAAAATCCCAAAAGGAGTCATGAAGAGCTAGACGCAACTAAAAAATGACTAAAAACTTAAGTCTACCTGGATGAATGTTGATGGGAAGCAACCTTGTGGGGGCTTATGAGCTACAGAAGTAGCTAAAAGCCTCAGAATTGTTAATTGTCTCTCTAAGGAGTAAGTTACTATGTAACTCACTAGGAGAGTAAGCTTAAGATAGAGGAGCAGTGACATAGAGGTGCTATGCCACACAAACTAAATTGTGGCCTTTGCTGTTAACCAGCCAGGCCTCTGGAATGACTCTGAAGACAGCTCAAATGTCCTAGCTGTTGTTCCATTGTTGATGTCATGGACCAATGACATCATGGGATGATGTCTTGATTCCTGCATGACTAGGATTCAAGTGAGGCAAAGCTGCACAAAGTCATCAGCCTCACTCTCTCTTCCAGAGTTACCAAAGTCTAGTGGCGGGACAAAAGTAAAGAAGATTGGCGATTGCCCAGAAAGCGGTAGGTGACCTTGGCATTTCCAATGTCTGACCAAGCTTGTCATGGCTATTGGAACAAATTGTTCTTTTCCACTCATTCCACCGGGGGAAGTCTTTACATACTTGGGGTAGACACCCCTCTAACTCACCAATGGGTTTGAGGCCTGTTGGTTACCCTCAATCTGGTTTAGCCCATCTGCTGAGACAGTTTACCAGGATGTGGCTGCTGTGCATGCTACAGCTTCTTGGAGTCACAGATGAGAGTTGGGTGACAGGTGGACACCAAAGGCGGATAAGCAGCCCTGAAAAGGGCCCAGCAATCTCTCACACGAATGGTGCTAGTCCTCCTGAACACCCACGCATCCTTGGTGTTCTGACTCTAAGCTATAAATATCTCAATCCTCAGGTCAAATCTCTCTTATCTCTCAAGAGGCCATTAGAATAAAAACTAGAGAATACTTCAGTCCACATAATAACAGCTTACATTCACATAGTGCTATAATGCTTACAAAAAAGTATATTCAGACTTTCATTTTTGCCTTTGTATTCCCAGTGTCATAGGAGACAATAAATTCTTGTTGATTGAGAGATAGCAAAAGTTTGTTGTCTCCATTTTATAAGTGAAGAAACCGAGGTTTAGAAAATGTGACTTGTCCATGATCACATAGATATTACTGGTTATAGGGGGATAGGAACAACAGGGTTCGAGTAACATTAACCCCTTCCAATATCTATGGAGTCTAATCCAGCCCTAAATTCTGCACAGTCCACTAAAACCAGAAAGCCATGAGGAAATGGCTGAAGGAGTTACTTCTACCACATTTCAAGAAACAGCCCTATGTTTAAGCGTCCAGCTACCTTCCATCAGTTAGGGACATCGTGGCAGGCAGGCAGGAAACAAGCATTTATAAGGCGGTTACTTCATGCTGGCTGCCATGCCTGGTACACCAGACAGCAGGCAGACTGGTAGAGGCAAAGCTGGAGAATCAGCTCTGTTCTGTGGACTCATCGCAGAGACAAGAAACCTTAAGGGGTGTGTTGCACTGGGTGGTGAGGAAGAGCCAGCGGAAGGGTTTAGCTGGGCAGCTAGGCCATGTAGTGGTCAGAGTGCTGGACCTGAAGATGTGTTCAAAGCCTAGATCAGATTTTACTAGCTGTGTGATCCTGTTTGAGGCCACTTCTTTACAAAAAGTTAATATTTCCCAACCAAGGTTTCCTATGCAAGGCTATGTCTGGGGGCCTCTCTGGGCACATGGGAAAAGAGGAACAAGGATAGTGGAGAAATGGAAACCTTGGCCAGTACTTCTCTTTTTCCCTACTGCCCCCTGACTCTTCTTGGCCTACTTGGCGCCACCTCATTTCAGCAGAATTGGGTGTCTCATGAACCATACTGTGAATTTTAATGCTCAAGTTATCTGGAGAATAGAACTAAACCTAGAATTATAGCCCATTCCATACCTTTAAGGCAAGGGATACCAGAAGGACAGAGTGAGAGCAGGTGACTCTCTCCAGACATGGGAAAGCCAGGATGTGTCTATATGTTCCTCTGGCTCAGGGTTTCACCCCCCTCAAACACCATCCTTGGTCTGAGACATGGCTAGCTTAGACCTAGCAGCTTTGGGTCATGGGATCATAGATTTACAGCTGCAAACAGACTTGAAGATCACTGAGTCCAACATACTCATTTTACAGATAATGAAACTGAGGCTCAAAGGGGAAAGTGGTTCATCCAAGCTCACCCAGTGAGTAAATGGAAGAGGCCAGAATTTCAACCCAGGTTTTCTAACTCCCAATAGAGTTTACTCTTGGCTGTTCATTGTCTCTTGCTCATAGACAAAGAAAACCCATCTGATTTACTCTTACTAAACAAACCGTGCCTCATGTGTGTGTTTTATTTTAAATAATAAAGACGTACTTGACAATGTTCTGATTTCATCCAGAACACTGCAGCACTTTCTGGGGAGAGATCTATAACCACTCAAAGGAATGAGGCTTGATTATCCATAAAGCAGGAGTTCTGAATCTTTTTTTTAAAAACCTATTCTCCTTGGGCAGAGCCTGGTGAAATGTTATGCCCCTTCTCAGAAGATGGTTTTTAATGCATAAGATAAAACACAAAAGATTAAAAAGGAAACCAATTATATTAAAATGCAATTATCAAAATATGTATATTTTTTAAAGTTCACAAATCTCAGGTTTAGTATCACTGCTACAGAGGAAAGACCAAGTGGATGAAGAATGTCTATGGACCAGATTACTACAAGCATTTGTATGAGTAACTTACAGAACTTTTCCATTGGTGTGTACATGTGTATATGCATGTCTATAAGGAAGGCAGCAAAAAATAGACAATGATGGGGGGGGGGGAGCCTATGGAGTAAGCAGGAAAAAATGGACAATGATTTGGGTCCAGAGTGGAATACATGGACAGAACGGACTGGATCACCTTTGGGAAATCAACAAGCTCTTTTAATGATCCCAAGCTTCCAATGAAAGCAAAGGTCCGTCTTTTTCACTACTATCAAAGTTGATGACACTGATTTTTTGAGACATGGTATGCTATAGTGTCCAAAGAATTAAAAATGAATATCCTAAGAGAAAACAATAGAGAGGTCCCCTGGTGGTTGTAATTAATGTAATGAAGAACAGGAATAAAAGGTGTCATTAGTGAAATGTATGACAAAAAGAGAATGACTAGTCACAGGGGAAGGACTGACAGGTGCACAGCCAGGGCACTCCACTGGTACTTCTGTGATATCAGAAGAAATCAAAGAGGGCCACTAGCCAACTGGGTAGACCCACTGTGGTGAATGGATGAGGAGAAATGCGTAAGACTCAAAGGGGATGGGCAAGCTGGGATGGGTTGCAATATGATGCACACTGTCCTGAATTGACAGAAACACAGATCCATATAAGGAGAGACAGCACCAAGCTATACATATTCCATTCCCCTCCTTGGTCTGTAGCACACATTTGGACCAGGCTAAGGAGCCAGGGCGTGTCTGGGACCAGGTGTCAAGTTTTTGACCATAAAACAGGTATTTTTCCCCCTTTATAGGAATAGTCACCTGGCATTCACAGAATCTGAATCTGTGACCTTGGCCTCATTGGTCCTTGGGCTCCAATGCATGCAGCTATGGAAACGCTTTAGAGTAAGTTGGAATCAGTCAAGCAAAACTTCTTGAAAAAGGAAAGAAATAAGCAGTTTTGAGAGAGAAGGAAAGGTTAGAAAATGATAAGGAAAAGGAGGATTAAAAATCAGCAGGCTTAGTGGTCAGAGAATAAATAATAGAAATAAAAACATTTTAATCAAAGAAAATGACGAGTCAATATACTAATTCTTATGAGATGAAACTAAAGTAGTCTTTAGGGGAAATTTTTATCTCTAAACGATTTCATCAACAAAAGAGAGGGGGAAAATATCAATGAAGTGGGTAGCTAAAAAAAATTAGAAAAGCAATTAAGTGAAAAAAAACCCCCAACAATAAATACCAAAGTAGAGACCTTGAAAATCAAAGAAGAGATTAACAAAATTGAAAACAAAAATTTAAAAAAAATTGAAGTGATAAAAAAACTAGAAATTTTTTAGAAAAGTGATAAATACTTCACTTATCTGATTTTTTAAATAAGAGAGAAGAAAACTAAATCATTTATATCAGAAATGAAAGAGAATTAACAATTGAAAATCAAATAAAGGAACCTATCAGGTTTTGCTCAATTATATGTCAAAAAACTGATAACTTAGATGACAAATGGACAAATATTTAAAAACATAAACTACTCAGAACAAGAATAAGAAATAACAAGAAATAAATTACTTAGAAACTGAACAAGTCAAAAATGAACTGCCAAATAGAAAAACACTAGTGAATGGATTTACAAGTGAATTCTATAAAACATTCAAAAAATTAATTCCAATATTACTAAACTGTGAAAATAGAAAGAGAAAGAATCCTTCTGAACTCATTCCATGACACAAATACAGTCTTGATAACTAAACATGGAGAGGCAAATCAGAGAAAGACTATCACACAGCAATATTCCCAATGAACATCAACACAAAAACACTAAATAAAAGATTGACAAAGAAACTACAATAACACATTAAAAAGATTATATGATACAACCAGGACGGCCATATGGCAGGAACGCAAAATCGGTTCAATATAAGAAAAACGAAACACATAACAGACTACACTAATAAAAATTATTTTAAAACATATCAATACATGTAGCTGCAACAAGCAAACAAAAAAGACCAAAAACTTTTTGCAAAGTCCAAAATGGCTATCAAAAACCACTGGAAAGCACTGTAATAAATGGATCTTTCTTTAAGATATCCATCTACAACCAAGAGCTAACCTTGTATGTAATGGAGAAATGTAAAAGTTGGAGTCCTTTCTAATAAATCAAAGGTAAAGCAAGGATGCCCATTACCGACACTATTACTTGATATCTAGAAACGCTAGCTATAGCAATATAACAAGAAAAAGGAAGTGAGGGACCAAGTACAAGCAAAGAGGAAATACTTCTATTGCCTTTTACAGACCACATGATGGTTTACAAAATTCAGGGGTGGGGAACCTGAAGCCTCAAGGCCACATGTGGCCCTCTAGGTCCTCAAAGCTTGAGTCCAAACTTCACAGAACAAGTCCCCTCAGTAAAAGGATTTGCTCTGTAAAACTCAGACTCAGTCAAAAGGCCACACCCAAGGACCCAGAAGGCCACACGTGCCCTTAAGACTGCAGGTTCTCCACTCCTGGTAGATGCTCTATCCCCAAAAGAGTCATGTAAAAATTGAAACAATAACTTCAGCAAAGTTGTTGAATATAAAATAAATCCACAAAAACCATGAGTGTGTTTGTATATTATGAACAAAACCCCACCGGAAGAGAATGAATATATAAAATAATCGGGAGTTTATCCACACAAGCCATAGAAATAAAATAGATTTAAATACAGAAATATTCACTGTCCATGGGAAAGCTGTGACAATATAATACAACTGAGAATTCAAAGGCTCCTGGAGCCCTTCTAACTCAAATGCAGTCTAGCAGTTTCTACCAAGTCAGCTGTGATCTGGGGTTAGGTGTCATCTGCACACAGCACAGGGTCATAGGCCTATAGAGGCCAAGGGGATGTATCAGCTTTACTTCCCATTACTGTTTATGAGGGGAAAGAACATAGACACTTGCAGTGTCCATCAATAAGAACAGGACTGAGAACATCCAACGATGAACAGAATGGATGAAGAAGACATGGAAGGCCAAGAAGACGAAGAGCGCATGGAAGGCCAAGGCGGCCAAGAAGCTCATTTCAGTGCACTCGACCAATGTATCTCCCTGTGGCCCCGAGGTGAGTCTATCTCCTGCCGAAGGTAGGATTTGAACTGAGTCTTGAAGGAAGCCAGGGAAGCTGCGGCCCAGGTGAAGAGGCAGAGTATCCTAGGCATGGAGGGTTCCAGGGCAAAGGCACCGAGTCTGGAGGTAATAGTGTTGTGTATGAGAACCACAAGAAAACCAATGTGGCAACATTATAGAGTGTGAACTGAGGGCTAATGACTAAAAAGATAGAGAAGAGGCAGGTTGTGAAAGGTTTTAAATATCAGAGAATTTTATATTTGATCCTGGAGGTAACAGGGAACCAGAAGAGTTTACAGAGTAGAGAACTGAAGGGAGTGACGTAGTCAGACCTGCACTTCAGGAAAATCACTTTGGCAGCTGTGTGGAAGATAAATCAGAAAAAAGACAAGGCCAACCCTGGGGTTTCTGCTTGAGAGATAGCACCTAAATGTTGTCATTTGCAATGATCCATTTTATTTATTGCTAAGCCTGATGACCGAGTAAACAGCACCACTCACTTTTATGTTCCAATTCATTGGCCTATTTGCCGTTCCTCACACACCTTTCATCTCTATTTCTGTACCTTGGAAGACTGTCTACCATGCCTAGAATACATACCCTCCCCATCTCTGTCTCTTAGGATCCCTAGTCTCCATAAAGCTCCACACAAATGCCACTTCCTACTCAAAGCTTTTCTGGTATAGTGGAAAGAGCACTGAATTTCAATTCGCAGGTCCTGGATTCAGATCCTGGCTCTGCCTTTTACTACCTGTGTAGTCCCTTTGCCTTTTTGGGCTTCAGTTTCCTTAAGTGAGGGTTTTGGACTAAATGACTTCCAAGTTCCCTTCTAGCTCTAGATTCATAATAACATTACCCTCTCCCCATGCTATTTCATATGTATTTGTGTGCATGTTGACTCCTGATATAGAATGTAAATTCCTCAAATGCAAGGATTTCCATCTTTTTTTCTTCATATCCTCAGCCCCTAGTATAGCATCTAGCCCCTATTCATATTCCTCACCCCCAACACAGGGCTAGGACCTACTAAGAACTTAATGTTTGTCAATTTCCTAAAACTTTAAGTAAAACCCAACCATCTGGAACAGATGGTTTAGATCAAGGGTAGGGAAATTGTGGCCTTCTAAGTCCTCAAGTGCAGTGCTTTGACTGAATCCAAACTTAACAGCACAAATCCCTTTAATAAAAGAATTTGTTCTGTAAAACTTGGGCTCTAGTTTTACCTAGGATGTCACAAGGGCCTCCCTCCCCTGGTTTAGTCATTAACCTCCCTGAAGACTACAGATGGATAACATACTTCCTTGAGACAGATCTCTTCTGACTCTCGGCTCTGTTTTCCGACACTCACTCTGGACTCAGGAACAAGGATCCTCTGCACCACAGGCCACCTTGGCCCCCATCTGCTTTTGCAGTCTAAGGCAGCAGCCTGAGGACCACATAACAATACAGCACTATCCCTGTGGCCGTTGACAAATCTCTGCATACGGAAAACGACACAGGGTGCCTCAGACGGCACAAGACCGGCTTTGTCCAGCTTAGGAGGTGAATGTCACTCAAAGACCCCATTCAGATCCAGAGCTCTCCTTTCTTGGCTCCCAAATCTGTTTTTTTTCCTAGTCTCCAAGACATGAGACCCCATTCCTTCTCCCAAAGGTTCCTGACAATTGAAGAAGTTTTGCCAGTCTCAAAAGTTAGAATGTGCTATTACCAGTTTTTAAAAATACTTTCTATTGTTACTTTCACTTAGTCTTTGATCCCGTCATTATTAAGCAGGTCATTCTGGATTCTATCAAGACCTTAATTATTTGGCTACATTCTCTTTATTAGTTATTATTTTAATTGTGTGATATTCTATAATGGGTTCCAGATTTTTGGCACTTTTCTTTGTTCTCTATGCCCTAGAGAAATTTTGTGATGTTCTCATATATTTGTTTTGTTAATTTATTCAATTTTTAAAATTTTCTATTCAAATTCCTCCTTCCCTCTGCTTCCTCCTCATCTTATGAGAAGGAAAGAAAAATAAATCCATTATAAGTATGTAGTCATGCGAAACAAATTCTTGCATTAGCCATGTCAAAAAAAGAAAAGAGAAGAAAAACTGCTCAATCTGCACTCTGAGTCCACCAGCTCTCTAGAATCGGGAAAATAGTAAGATATACATGATTTAATAGATTTTGGGGTATAGTTCCAAATTGTTTTCCAGAATGATTAGACCAGTTCACATCCATCAACAGTGAATAAGGTCTCTTATTCCCCGCAGCCCTGCCAGCATGTCATTTTCTTTGTCATCTTAGTCAATCTGATGAGTGTGAAGTGGTACCTCAGAGTTATTTTAATTGGCATTTCTCTATTTGTTATTTAGAACATTTTTTCACATGGCTATTGATAGCTTGGATTTCTTCCTTTAAAGACAACCAATTCATATTCTTTGACCGTTTTATCAATTGGGGAAAGGCTCTTATTTTGATAAATTTAACTTTGTTCCATATATATATATATATACATATCTATATCTATCTCTGAGAAATGAGACCTTTAACAGAGAAACTTCCTGCAAAGACTTCCCCACCCCAATATTTTGCTTCTAATTTTAGCTGTATTAGTCTTATTGTGCAAAAACTTTTCATTTTATGTAAATGAAATTGTCAATTCTACTGCCCACGAACCTCTCTATTTCTTGTTTGGTCATGAATTCTTCCTCTATCCATGGATCTGACAGGCAATTTCTTCTATGCTCCCCTACTTTGCATATATTGTCATCCTTTATGTCTAAATCACGTACTTATTTTGAGCCTATTGTGGTATATAGTGTGAGATATTAGTCTGTATCTAGTTTCTGCCCAATCACTTCCCAGTTCTCTCAAAAGTTTTTGTCAAATAGTGAGTTCTTACCTTGGGATTGTGGGCTTATCAGGCATTACATTACTGTGTTCATCTGTTTTCATATGGTCTACCTAATCTATTCTGCCACTCAACCTATTTCTTAGCCACAACCCGACTGTTTTGATAACTACAGCTTTGTAGTGTAGTTTGAGATCCAGTACTATTAGGTCCCCTTCTTTCCTGTTTGTTTTGCACTGAGTCCCTTAATATTTTTGACCTTTTGTTCTTCTAGTTGAATTTTATTTATTTTTGAGCTCATAAAGTAATCCTTTAGTAGTTTGATTGGTATGGCACTAAATAATTAATTTTGGTGTTACATTATTTTTATTACATTGGCTCAGCCTACCCCTGAGCAATTAATATCTCTCCAATTGTTTAGATCTGTGTTTATTTGTATAAAGATTATTTATAATTGTGTTCATATAGTTCCTGGGTGTTTCTTGAAAGGAAGACTCCCAAGTGCTTTATATTTTCTGCAGTTTCTTTAAATGGAATTTCTCTTTATCCCAGTTAGAATTTATTGGTAATATATAGAAAGGCTGAGGATTTCCATGGGTTTATTTTATATACTGCAACTTTGCTAAAGTTAAGCCCCATACATTTATATAAAAGTAAACTGCATAATAAACCATTAATTTTTCTAAAATTAAATCAAGTTGTTTCAATATTCCATGTAATTACGTACCTTCTTTATTTTCTTTCATTTTAAATTAGAATATGCCAAAATGTTATGTTGAACTCTCCTATTAACATTTTTTAAAATCTAGATCCTTTTATAATTCAATTAATCTTTTCCTTTTGCTGTTGTTCAGTTGTGTCTGGCTCTTCACAATTTGTGGACCAAATTGTCCATAGGTTTTTTGCAAAGATATTGGAATGGTTTACCATTTCTTTCTCCAGTGGATTAAGATAAACAGAGGTTAAGTGACTTGCCAGGGTCACACAGCTATTGTGGTCAGATATAAACTCGGGTTTTCCTGATTCCAGGACCTGATCTCTATCCAATGAGCCACCTAGTTGCCTCCATCTTTTCCTTTAAAATTTGGTAATTATATTGTTAGGGAAAACAGTCAATGGTTCCTTTAGTCATATTGTGATTGCCATGCTTTCCTCTGCTAATGGATTTTTAATATAAAATCATCTTTTCATGAAATTATGATTTCAATTCCTCAGTGTTGACTTCTGTTATCAGTTTGTCTTGTTTCATCTCTTTAGTGAAATCGCTTCATCTCTATCCCCTTCATTTCCTTTAGCATTTATTACACTATCTTGTGCTAGATCTAGTTTCATTTTTTTTAGGACTCTGTTTATGTTTTGCCTTTTTAGGTCTTCTTGGCACTTAGCCCAGTGCTTAGCACATAATAAATGCTTGTTGACTGATTTCCTTCCAGTACCTTGACTTCAGGATCTTCTATTCTACAGTGTTTGTTAGTCAACTTGGAGTTTCCTCTTTTCCTGATTCTTTTGTTTCCATGTTTTGCTTTCCTTTACCAAGAATAAGTCAAAAAGCATTTATTGAGCACCTACGAAGGGTCAGGCACTGTGCTAAGCACTGGCCATACAAAGAAAGGCAAAAACACATCTACCATCAAGGAGGTCTCAGTCTAACGGCCACAACAGGTAAATCAACGCGTACAAACAAGACATGTACGTGATCGGAGGAGTTATTCTTCCAAGGCAGGGATGGGGGGTTCCATTATTCACCTTTCTTCAATTTATTCCTTTATTTTGGGGCGTTTTTGCTATTTTATCTGCATTTTCCAGAGAAGAAAACGAGCCTTATGGCGGTCAGATGCGAACTATTCAAATCTCTTAGACATTGATCTCATCCTCCAGGGCTGTTCTCCAAGAAAGATGTACCTTCCTTCTTCCGGAAGCCAAAGACAGTCAGAGGCAGCTTGATACTTCTGGCCGTGTCCTCCTTCCTGGTGGTCCTCACTGTGTGTAAGCTTCTCTGCAGCCCCAGCGTATGTCCCACACAAACCTCAGTTTTCGGAGCCGAGACACTCTCTTCACCTCCCATGTGGCTCAGTACAGACCTCCTCCTGGTTTCCTGGGTTCACAGACAAACAAGGCTGCCCCCCAGTTCCCAGACCCAACCCTAGGGCCTCAGGGAACTTCTACAATGCCTGCCCCCAGGCTATCCAGTTGTAGTCTCACAGGTCAGGTGGGCTCACCCCATCTCCACTGCAGCCAGGCTTACCTCCAGTGGAGCAGCTGTTTCTTCCCACCCCGACCTCATATCCTCAGCTCTCTCTCACCTTTCAGGGCTTCAGGAGTTCTAGTCTTGGAAATATCAAGTTTGCAGGGTCAGAGATCTCCAGAGTAGGTCGACTCTGCCTCAGTCAGTCAGCAAGCACTTACTCTATACCAGGCCCTAGGCTAAGCACTGGTGATACAAATAAAGGCAAAAATATTGTCCCTCCCCTCAAAGAGATCACATTCTAATAGGAGAGACAAAAATGTAACCAATAAAGGACATATAAGATAGACTACAGATGTACAGTAATCTCACAGGGGAAGCTCTGGGGGAAGGGGTGAAGGAATTAGAGACATATGGTTGGGCAGCAATGATACCCAATGGACATCGTGGCAGCCAGATGGTGGTGAGTAGCTGCCACATTGAGATTTACCAGGAGGAGCAGCCTCTGGTCACTTTTGAATCACTAGACTGCCCACTCCCTAGTGTCTGCTCCTTGCCTCTGTCCCTTATACAGAAAAGCTGGACTACTTGTTATTCAAAGGGCATATGGTCTGTCCCTATGCCCCCTTGAAACCATATCAAAAACAATAGCTCTCTGCATCAACGCTGGGACACACTGTCCATATTTATTAGGAACCAGGCATTTCTGCCTCTTCCCCCTTTTATTGGAAAGAGGAAGACTAGTAAACACCAGTAGCCTAAATGCTGCAGTTCCAGACTTAAAAGAGCAAGTGGAGAATCTCACAGCACAACAATGCCAGTAAGGCCATTGAGGTAACAGGGACAACAGCTTTTACACATGTGAACATGAAAACTGTGTCAGATGCAGGTTGTGTGGTCTGCTAGCCTGTAGTGGATAGCATCCAAGAGGGAATGGAGATGGTGTAGGGGTTTGAGAAGACTGCAGGTCTTCATTTGCAAGAAGGGTCCTAAACCATCCTAGTTGCTCAAGGGTCATTCACATACCTCCTCTCCTAGGCACCCTATGTGACATCTGTAGTTAATATAGAGGTTCAGGTTCAGCATTCAAGCAGCCATTTCAAAAGAACTGGATCTGAAGATATGATTCACAGTCACCAGATAGCAGAAAAGGTATCTTAGTCATACCCTTGTGATTCAAACAACAGACTTGCAGGTTGCCTTTGCAGCCTGAAGAATGAATGAAAAAGCATCAGTAAACACATACTGTGTGTCAGGCACAGAACTAAGGACTAGGGACACAAACACAAGTAAGCAAGACAGTCTCTTACTTCAAAGAATTTATGCTCAACTCTCTAATAATACAGTTGAGAAAAGGAGGGTAAGGTATCATATACTATCTATATCCTGGCTTGAATGGCCCAGGAATGTTGGGTAGCCTGGGTCCCAGCAAGAGAAGGCAAAGGCTTACCTAGCAAAGCCCAGGGTCCCAGGGGCAGAGTCCAACTTCTCTTGATCATTCTAATTCTTTTCAGCAGTGTCCCTTTACAAACCTCAAGATCTTTTCCTCCTTCCTCCAGATCCCCAAATGCTCAGCAAGATAGCAGATATTCAGACTTCCATCCAGATGCTTAAAGGTGTTTTAGAGACTGCCCCTCCTCAAGCCCAGATGTTAAGTACTTATTTGGGAAATGCTAGTGCCAAGATCGAGGAGGTAAAAAAAGGTCTGAAAAATGCCAGTGATCAGATCCAGATGGCAAACAACAATGAGAAGAACGCCAGTGCTGAGATTCAGATGTTAAAAAAAGGTCTGGAAAATGCTAGTGCTCAGACCCACATGGCAAACAGAAATCTGAAGAACGGCAGTGATGAGATCAAAAAATTAAAGAAAGATCTGGAAAGCACAAATGCTTTAAATTCTGAGGTCCAGAGGCTAAGACGTGGTTTGGAGAAAGCCAATGAAGAAATCCAGAAGATAATGGGAAGACTAGTAAACACCAGTAGCCTAAATGCTGCAGTTCAAGACTTAAAAGAGCAAGTGGAGAATCTCACAGCACAACAGTGCCAGCAAGGTCCTCGAGGTAACAGGGACAACAGCTTTTACAGTGAGGGTTTCTGGGGGAGGGCAAGGGCTTCTTGTCATGGGATTCAGGGACGGAAGACACCTTAGAGATCATTCTATCCTGCTCCTTTGTTGCAAAGACAAGGAACCTGAGGTGAGCATGCCAGACCTGATATTCTGCCATTAAAGGTTCACTCCTTTGGGTTAAAATTCAAATATCTTTGGGAGGCAGCTCGTCCCACAGAAAAACGGCCCAACACACTCAGCCATGAATCATAATCCTAATTTTTGCTATGGAAACAAGCACCCCATCAACATTTATGGCAGGGGGGGCAGGGCACAGGACAAGGAGTTCAGAGACCCAGGCCCCAGGCCCAACTCTATCACTGGCTTGGACCCTGGGCAGCTCACTACCTTTCTGGACCTCGGTTTCCTTACCTGCGAGAGGCAGACACAAACCCTAGCCCTGCTGACCTCCCAGGTGCTGAGGACAGATACAAAAGTCCTTTAGAAAATATAAGGCACCAAACACGTTTGAGACATCCCCACCCACCACCACAGCCTCATCCTGGGCCAATCGTGGGGCTTCCAAAGATGTCAGCCCTCAGGGAGGGTGGGAAAGCATCTCAGCATCCCTTTTCAGAAGCTCCTAATTCCCTCTATTCTCCAGACCCTTCCACCCTGGGCTCCCTTCTGCAGCTAATCATCCAGGGCTGGCACTTCTATGAGGGAAAGGCCTACTACTTTTCAGACACCAAAATGACCTGGGAGGAGGCGGAGCACTTCTGTGTGGCCCACAATTCTCATCTGGCCTCAGTGACCTCAGATGGAGAACAGGTCTGTGCTCTCCCCAAAGGTCCTAAAGAAAAAAGTAATAAGTGACAGAGTAGGGGGTTGGGGGAGAGGGGAAGAGTAAGAAACAACAAAGAGAATCACTTGTGCCCTAGGAAATATCTAAAAAGTATTTACTGTCATGAGACAGTCAAGGTGGAGAGACAAGACTCACTCCAATGAAATAGAAGAACAGGTTAATCAGAAACATTTATGAAATGCTTGCTACGTCCAGGGCCAAGAGAATACAAAGATAAAACATAACAGTCCCTGTCCTTGAGGAGCTTACATTAAGTTAGGTGAAATAACACATACATCTAAGTGAAACAAAGTAATGTTGGCAGAGAAAAGACTTGCAAGGTAATAAAGCCCAATGACAAAACATCAAATGTTATCCTTTTCCCCCCAGTTCAGTTGAAGTTATGACACGGAGCTGAGCCTGGAAGGGAGTTAGGGATCTTAAGATAGAGAGGCTAGGGTGAGCATTCCAGGCAGGGGGGACGCCAGTACCAAGGACAGAGGCATCTCAGGCCCTAAGTTATGCTCTCCTCAATGGTCCTTGGGCCAAATTTATTCTCATACACCTTCTAGCCTTGCTCCTCGATGGCTGTGACTATGTAGTTTTTTGTCTTTGTTTCCCCTGGTATAGAGCTTAATAAATATTTATGGAACTCAAGTGAATTTATGATCCCAGCAGGGCTGCCATGACCTGGGTCTTCTTACACTATTGTCTTTTGAAAGACAAAGTATTACTATTCATTACATAATCACGAGCAACAGCATTCATAATGGCATTCCTCCTCTCCATGCTCTAAGGGACCTATGGGAATGCTTGAGGAGGAGCATGTAGTCTATGCACTGGGGGTAGTCACCCAGGAGGACAGGCTATAGAGAATCAAATGATGTATTCTGCATAGTCCAAGATGAAAATGGCACATGCAAACAGAGCTTGAGTTCTAGGAATGAAGGGGAAAAGATGGAAGGATCATGGGAAAGAGAAATATGAGACAGAGATGGAGAGGGAGGGAAAGAGGGAGAAAAGTGGAGAGGAAGAAAAGGGTGGGGGGAGTGGGAAAGAGGGAAAGTGGGAGAGTGACAGGAACTAACAGATACCTTTCACCTCTAGAGGCTACTCTTAGGAAATCTACATCCCCAACAATCTCATTTCTCTGCTAATTCTCCTCTGTAGGAATTTCTGAGTAAGAGGACAAATGGGGTGTACCACTGGATTGGGCTGACTGACAAGAACACTGAAGGAACCTGGCAATGGGTGGACGGGACTCCATATAATGAGAGCCAAGCGTAAGTGAGACGACTCTCCCCAGCCACAAAGCTTCCCAGGCTTCTCTGTCACAAAGCCAGGTCAGGGAGATCTAAATCCCAGAGTTGGAAGTGACCTCAGGGGGCATCTGGTCCAACACAGGCCTGAACAAGAATCCCTCAAGAAACATATTAAGTGCCTACTAGCAGGCCCAGGTGGCCCAGGAGGTCGAGCACTGGGCCTGGGGTCAGGAAGACCTGAGTTCAGATCTGGCCTCAGACACTTACTAGCTGTGTGACTGTGGGCAGCTCACTTAACCCTGTTTGCCTCAGCTTCCTCATCTATAATATAAAATAAGCTGGAGAAGAATATGGCAAACCACTCTACTGTCTTTACCAAGAAAACACCACGGCCAGCAAGGTGTCCATACTGGTCACAAAGAGTGGGACATGACTGAACAACAATGTGCTGGGCAATGCAGATGCAAGGACAGAAATGAAACAGTTCCTGCCTTCAAAGAGCTTATTTTCTAGAGGGAGAGAACATACGTAAACATATGAATAGAAACAAAGAATATAGAACATAAAAACAGCATTCCAGGTATGAAGGATAGCCAGACTGTGCAAAGGCAGAGAGGAATGTTTTCCTAAACACAGCCATCAGACGGCCTAACCTTATGCCTAGGAAAGTGAAGGTCTTTTGTTGTTCAGTCATATCTGACTCTTCATGACTCTAGGGTTTTTTGGCAAAGATACTGGAGTGGTTTACCATTTCCTTTCCCAGCTCGTTTAATAGATGAGGAAACTGAGGCAAACTCGGTGAAGCGACTTGCCTAGGGTCACACAGCTAGTAAGTGTCTGAGGCCAGATTTGAACGCACGAAAACGAGTACTCCTGATTCCAAGCCCAGTGGTCTATCCACTGTGCCACCTAGCTGCCTAAAGGGGAAGGCCATTTGGACATTAATCTAGCGACAAATGCTGTCACCACGGAGTAGCTCTGGGTCCTCTGCAGGGCCCTGTCTTCCAAGAGACAGCCTGCAAAACGTTGGCTAGATGTGAGGGATTGCAGGCTCAAAAAAAAAAAAAAACAAACAAACCAAACCCAAAAACTAACATCCAAAGCAGGACCATGCACTAGGTACAGGCTGCTGCTTCTAGTCCTGGATTGCTGATATCCTTCTATAAGCTACAAAGGCTGCTCCAACAGTTATCCTAACATAAAACTTAGGATTATCTAGTACAGCCTCCTTATTTAACATTGGAGGAAACTGAGGCCTGCTGCAACCTAACCCCCATCCAACCCAACTCAAATGCCACTTTCTTCATGAAGCTTCCCACCATCCCACACCAGGAAGGAACCTTCCTCAGACCTCATGTGGCATTTTGTTGGGAAACTCTACGATATGCTCAGAAAAGGGTCAGAGTGGGAAAGGACCTCAAAGATTACCCAGTCCTGCCCCTCGTTTTATAGATAAGGAAATAGAGGAAGGTCGCCCAGCTGGCTAAAGGGAGAGCTGTAACTTGAAACCAAGCCTCTAGACTTGGGGCAGCAATCTCTCCCTTACACCGTTGTCATCTTTCAACAGGGTCTACCTTGGTTAGAATAATAACTGGCATTCAGTTAATGCCTTACAGTGCCTCAATCCGGGTGTCACAAAAACAGTGAAGTGGGTACTACAGGCGACAGGATTCTTATTTTATGGATGAGGAAACCAAGGCTCAGAGGTAAAGTGACTTGTCCATGGTCCCATAGCTAGTAATAATCAGAGCTGGGATTTGAACCTAGGTCTTCCTGGCTTCAAGCCCAGCACTACACTATACAGGCAGCAATTCTCTTGCACGCCCAGCACAGCCTGGTCCACCGTAGGAAAGGGGTCCACCACGACACTCAGGCTTCTCACAGATTGGGGCTGCTCTTCTTGACAGGTTTTGGAACAAGAACCAGCCAGACAATTGGCACTATGAGAAGGGCCTGAAGGAAGACTGTGTCCACACTCAGGTGAAGTGGAATGACATGCTCTGTGACCAACCCTATCCCTGGATCTGTCAGAAGGTGCCAGAACTGCCTGGTAGCACCCCTGGATGTGGGCAGGCTCACCACCTGTCCCCCATCCTCCCTCACAGGGCTACCAACGATTCAGGGACGGTTCCAGGCTCTGCTTCCTCCATCCGCACCTAGACCTCCTACCTTCCCAACCGGACACCAATCTTAATGCTACCCACTCTTCAAGACCCAGCTCAAGCCTCTCACATCCTGGAAAGACTTCTTGGGCCATTCTGGCCATGAACCCCGAGAGCTGTCAGCTAGCACCTCACAGGCTTCGCCAGTGGAGGCCAGTTCCAGCTCCAGGTCACCTCCATCTTCTTGATGTTCTTTGCCCTAGGCCTCTATCTCTTTTCAGTTCTGGTATCTTAATCAGTCCAACCGATAGAGCCATTGCTACTCAAAGGGGCACGTCAAACTGCCAACCTATTGCTCTGATCTCCTTCCGTATAACTTTCCAAGCTAAAATCTCTTCACCCGGCCACTACTGCCCTATCAGTGTGATCTCTCCTTGTCGGAACATAGGACAGTCAGCTTTTCCACATCCCCAGCTCTAAGCGCGGCATTTGGCACATAGAACCCCTTAATAAATTCATTCCATTCTTTGATTCTGTAGCATTCATTAACTATCACAGTATCCTCTGCTTAAAGGCAATGTGATGTAGTTTAAAAAAAAAAAAAGATCTGTCTTGTAGTTGGAAAACCCGGATTCAAGTCCAGCCCAACAGGGTGTGTGACCTTGGGGCAAGTCAGCTTACCATATTGAGACTCAGTTTCCCCATCTGAAAAATAGGGGTTTAAAAGAGGTGATTTTTCAGAGGAAAGATAATGGGTACAGTTTCGGCCATTGAGTTTAAGAAGTCTAGAGGACATTTTGAGATGTCTAATAAACAGTTGAAGACGTGAAACTCATGGTCAGCAGTGAAGTTAGGGCTAGGTAAATAGATTTGAGAATCATCATCAGAGTTAACAATTAAACCCATAAGATCTGATGAAATTGCCAAGTAAAAGATTATCAGGAGAGAGTCTGGGAGAGTCGGGGGGGGGGGGGGGAGGGGAATCCCCACAGCTGCTGGGCAGGAACTGATTAAACAAAAGGAGACAGGGGAATGAATCAGACAGACAGAAAAACAAGGAGAAATCAGTTATTGTGGGGAGAAGTCAATGTACAGGATAAAAGGCGGCAGAGAGGTCAAGAAGGATGAGGACTGCGAAAAGGCCATTAGATTTGCCATTTAAGAGATCATTAGTCACTTGAGGGCAGTTTCAGTTGCATGATGAGGTCAGAAGCCAGACATACAGGTAACAGGAGTGAGGGGAAAGAAAGTGGAGACACCTATTGCAGACAGCCTTCTCAAGGTTACCACAAAGGATATATGGGATGATTTCTAGAAGGAATGGACAGATCAAGTGAGTTTTGTTTTTGTTTTACAGGATGGAGGAGACACAGGCATGCTTCTAGGCAGTTAACAGCGAGGGACTGAAGAACAGTGAGAGTGGAAAGGAGGTCAGGCAATCTGTTAGACAAGATGGAACATGTAGGGGGGGTCGGCCTAGGAGAAAGGTCACCTCTTCATGTGAGGGGTAGAGACAGTGGCAGAAGGCATCTGGGTGATGGGATAAGAAAACAGAAAAAAGGGAGCCCTCTGCAAATGGCCTCAATTTTTTTCACTGAAACATAAGAGGTTCTCACCTAAGATGGGAAGGCCATGAGGGGTTTGAGAACTGATGAAAAGGTTTGGAAAAGCTGCTGCGGTAAGTGGAATAGTGAGTTAATTAGGGGAGTGCAAATAGTGAGTTAATTAGGGGAGTGCAAATAGATTGCCTTGTCGTAGTTGAAGGCCAGCTAGGTGGAGAAATGGATAGAAAGTGCTGAGCCTGGAGCCTGGAAGACTCACTTTCCTGAATTCAAATACAGCCTCAGACATTTACTACCTGTGTTACCCTGGGCAAATCACTCTATCCTCTTTGCCTGAGTTTCCTCATCTGTAAAACAAGCTGGTGAAGGAAACAGAAAACCACTCCCATGTCGATATGCAGTAGGTGCTTAATGGATGATGGTCAATTGCCTGATCGCCCCTTCCCTCCTTCCATCTGTCTGCTCTGCACAAGCTGCATGTAAGTCTTCCTGGACTCCTCACCTTCCCCTTGGCTGCTGGGAATCCCATGGGCCTTCCCACAAGAGGCTGCCATCTTGCTCTCCCCACGTGGTGCTCTTCCTGCACCCCCTCAATACTCTGTACAGATTCTGAATTCACCACCTGGGATTGTTTAGCTCTGTGGACAAGCATTTATTAAGCACCTACTGCATACCAGGCTGGGGACACAAAAAAAGACAAACTCAGCCCCCGCCCCAAGGGGCTTCCAGTCTAGGGGAAGTCAGCAAGTAAATAGCCACAGACTGAACAAACACAGGGGAGGGACTCAGAGCTCGGTGGACTTGGCATACGGCAGGTGCTTAATCAATGCGCGCTCCATAAATGACACTAATCTAGCCCCGCCCCCAGCCAGACAGAGGGGAGGTGGAGGCCTAGGCGGCGGGCTCCGCAGGCAGGCCCTAGGACCCTGGGAGGAGGAGGGCGCCCGGGAAGAACCAGGCCAGCCACAACCGGAAACCGGAAATGAGAGCGGGAGCGCGCGAAGGGGCGGGACATAGAAGCTGAAGAGCAGGAATTGGCATCAGGGCGTGCGCGAGCCCCCGGAAATCGTGAGGAAGGAAAAGGGCGCCATTTCCGAAAGGAAGGGTTTCAGTGGGGAACGAGTGGAGCTATGTAAGTCCTCCTCTGCGTAGGGTGGTACCAGAGGCTGGGGAGCGGGGGCCGGAGAGGACTCAGACCCGGCCGAGGCTTCCCGGCGTTGTGGGGCTAGGAGCGGCTACAGACCGGCAGCCATGACTGCCCAGGCGGAGGCCGCGGAGACGCTCCGGCGTCGGGGATGACGTCACGGCGTCGGGCGTCTGGGAGAGAGACGGAGGCTGTCATTGGTGACGTGCGGTTGGGGCGTGGCTGCCTGGGGCTGCGGGAGAGTTGCGAGGGTGACGTCACCAGGGGGCAGGGCTTCCAGGGCAGCCCGGAGCGTTCTGTGAAATCCTCACCTTTCCCAGTTCTGTTTACACACGGATCAGTGAATGAATGAGTGAATAAATGAATGAACGAATGAAACCATCAATGAGTTATTATTAAAGTAGGTATAGAACGTTCAGATCCATCCTAAGATACTTGACCGGCTGTGCAGCCCTGGACAAATGGCTTACGTGCTCAGTTTACTCATCTGTGAAATGGACGTGATATTGAGGATGATAGAGGGAGCCTGGTATGGGAAGCCGGCCTGAGACGCAGGAAGGCCCGCGTTCAGATTTGGCCCCTGACATAGACTGGCTATTCAACCCTGGGCAAGCCACTTAACCAGTACCTTGCCTTGGTTTCCCCATCTGTAAAATAGAGATAATATTGAGCATAATCACTGATAATTATGAGACTAATAGCTAGTATATATAGCCCTTTCTCAGTGCCAGTTCCTGTCTTTAAGGCCTTAGGATGCAAGAGAAAACAGTCCTTGCCCTCAAGAGGCTTACACTCTAATGGAGTTGACAAATGGGCACGTGCAGGATGCGTCTAGGGCAGATAATCGTTGCAGAATCTCCTGGTCTTGTGGGGAGACTGGACAAGCATCGGAGAAATAGGTTCAGCTAGGCACCAGTGGGTCGCAATCAGCAGTTAGAGAAGACGTGCAAATCGACATCCCGGAGCTCCTGGATGATTATGGAGCACCTGGAGAAAGACCTTGAGGAGTTCATGAATCAGACATACAGCCATCATTTTCTCTTGGGGACTGTAGTACAAGACAGGAGCCAAGGCTCGTATCAGGCATCAAGGTTTACAGAACGCTTGGCATAAATCATCTTTGTGTAAGCACCCGCCACAGGTCCTGGGCTTGCTGAGACTTGTCTCGTGTTCTCATAAGTCACTTATCAAATGGGGACTCTAGGTGCTTTTTACTTATTAACAATAATAATAATAATAACGATTGCTTGTGTTTGTAGAGCACATTACAGTTTGCAGAGTACTTCTCAGTGGAGGGAAGGGGAGTTTAGCACAGTGGAAAGAGCAGGGGATCTGGAATCAGAAGCTAAAGGGGGAGACAGTGATAGAATAGATGTGTAGAAACAAGCTATAGATGGGATAAATTGGGGACCATTAATGGAAGAGAAGGCTCTTGGGGTCTGATTCTGGCTGTGCCACCTGGATGACCTTGGGTACCTATTTTACTAATGAGGAAATTGAGGCTCAGGTGAGGTGATTCTCCCAGGGCACTTAAGTGTCAGAAGAGGAATTTGGACCCAAATACTCCTGACTCCCAAAGTTAAAGCTCCATCTATTATGCCACATGGCTGCCGCAGTTTATAGATCTTTCTTTCATGAATTAGACCAGGGTACTGCTGTAACCAACGTTACTTAACATCCAAACATTTTACTGCATAGAGAAGATAATAGTCCATGTCTTAAAGAAGCATGATTCCAGTTGCCTTCATCCAGGAACGCTGAATTAAGGGTCAGGGTTTTGAGATTGGGGAGAAGGGGTGTGAACCGTCCTCACTTGTGCCTACAATATTCTATGGTAATTTTTTAAAAAAGTCATTCTCTAGGTATTTTTTTTTGTCCGCTGCAGTGGAAAATGCAGTTCACATCACAATTAGACCTATTTCCTGAGTGCACGGTGACTCTACTCTTGTTTCGTGGTGTAAAAAATGCTGGAGATTTAAGAAAAAAGGCCATGGAAGGTAGCATCAATGGAGCATTAATTAATGCTACGATGGTAAGTGGCTGCTTTTAGACGGAATGAATAATTTATGTCTCCACCCCATCTTATAGACATTGCAATATGTGTTTGATGTTTCCTCTGTATTACCCAAGAAACTTCAAGGTTAGCCTAAAATTCTTCTAACATCAGACACGTTAGAAAGACACATCTGTTGGTCCAAAAATAGGTCACTCTCAAAAATGTAACTAAATTATAAAAGGAAAACAGATAGAAGGTTGCAGCCTTAAAATGATATCTCTTTGAAAGAGGAAAAAAAATTTGACTTAAAAGTGATATGAACCTGCCATATTAATTATATGATATATTGTTGTATTATTATTATAGTTATATAATATACATATTGTTTAATTTTTAATTTTAATTTAAAAATTAAATTTACTTAATTATTAACATAATATATTTATATTATTATATGGCATATAAATATCATTTTAAAATATTTCTTTCAATTCAAATAAAGTTGCTTCATTAATTTTTTCTTTCCTGTTGTATTTTCAACTTCTGTTGTCATCCTGAAATCGCAGAGCGGAGTCAGGTTCTATGTAAATGATATTGGGAGGGGAAAAAGGATGCCTGACATCCAAACCCATTGCTTAACGAGAGCGGGCTGCACGGCCAGGTTTTCCTGCCTGGGTACCTGGGCAGTCGACAGCACCTGACCTGGAAGTCAGGAGACCTGGTGACCCTGGCATTAACTCTCCGAGGAAGCTTGGGGAAGCTCCTCCCCCCTCTGGGCCTCAGCTGTCTTGTGTGCGAGGTGAGAGGCTCCCCTCCCCTCCCCCCGCTCTCCGCCCAGAGGCCCCCCAAGGCCTCGGCCCGTCCTGCTTCCTCTTCTCCTCCGCTGTAGGTGCTTGATCCATTTCAGATCCTCGTGGCAGCCAACAAGGCCGTGCACCTCCACAGGCTCGGGAGAATGAAGACAAGGACTCTGTGCACAGAAATTATCTTCAGCCTTTCCCCAAGCAACAGCGTAAGGGCACTTTGCTCACTGACTTCTGCAGGGCCTCGTCTGCTTAGCGCCAGGTTGGGAATTGAGCCCAGTCAGACCTGGTGAAATGCTGTGATCCGTTGAAATGGTAGGATTGGGCTTACTGAGGACCTGGCAAATACCCAGAAGGTGGGTGGGAGAGCCGTAGGGCGTCCGAGTCTGTCCCATTGAAGGCAGGAACATGATCCTGACATTTAGAGAAATTCAGAGTGGCCTCAAAGATACATTTGGTTATTGAACAACGAGTTCGCAATGCCCATGTCACTAGGAGAAAAGTTAAAGCAAGACACAGCTGTGAGTGCCATTTAAATAAAGAGCCCGTTTTGGGGCAGCTGGGTGGTGCAGTGGATAGAGTACCGGCCCTGAAGTCAGGAGGACCTGAGTTCAAATCCGGCCTGAGACCGAACACTTGACACTTACTAGCTGTGTGACCCTGGGCAAGTCATTTAACCCCAATTGCCTCAAAACCAAAACAAAACAAAGAGCCCGTTTCAAGTGGGAAAGGCTCTTGCCCTCTTCCTACTGTCCAGGACACCGTTTATCCTGCCGCTGTGGGACGTGTTCTTTCATGGCAGCTCAGAAGCCCTGATGGAACCCTTTTGCTTTCGTGGCAGATTTCAGAAGCCTTGAAGAAGTTTGGCATCTCAGACAACGACACTTCAGTTTTAATTGTTTATGTCGAAGAAGAAGAAAAGCGAATGAATCCAGAAGACCTCATATCTCAGGTGGATGGTCATCAGGTTTCCTTCGACAAGCTTCCAGAAATGACAGATATCACCAGCATAAAAAAGGTTGGAGTAATCTTATGTTTTCAGATTGATAGTGACGGGGTGGAAAGAGCTTGTTTTGTTATTGGCTTGATCAGAAAGGTTCCCCTGGACCTGGGGGTGACAGCATATTTCCTTAAGCTTTTTCAAGACATTTTAACTTTGGGCAGGGCCGAATGGAGAACTGTGGGGAAATCCTTGAAAAATGTTCTGGGTTCACAAGCCTTGGAGAAATACTGGCCAGTGCCTACTTCCATATTCTTTCAATTGTCTGCTCTTGAAAAATTGGACAGTGTTCCTTAGCTGAAAGTGATGACCATGAATTTCTTTTGATTCCATAGGAGTGGGTAAAATTGAGTTGGTCACGCCAAGTATTAATCTGCCATGTGTGACTTTATTTTTACAGGCATACAAACTGACTCCCAAAGAAGAAAAGATCGGGACATTATTAGAAAGTATCATTTGCAGAATGTCAACCAAAGATGTTTTGTGAAATAAAAAAAAGAATCAAAAAATGTGTTTGGCATGATTTTAATGATAATTTTTTTGTAGTTTTGCAATCCTCTCCTGTCCATCTCATTGAGGAGTGAAGGCTCTGCTGATTGGACACCCTGTCTGCCCTTGCCCGGTAGGGCTTTGATTAGAGGTCCTGCTCAGCATGGCCGGTCAGCAGGTCCTCTGTGCACTCACACTGCTCCCATCCTGCCCCTTCTCTTTACACGTCCTTCCCACCCCGATTTTACAGGTAAAGAGACTGAAGCCCAGGGAGGGACCCTGTAAGTGGCAAAGCTGGGATCTGAGCCCAGGTCCACTCCTGGACTAGCACAAAGCCTCCTCGCTGCTTCTCTTCCTCTCTTGAATCCAGCTTCATTCAGCTCTCAGGTGGGTCTTCCTAAAGCCCTGCAGTGGCTCCCTAGTACTTCAGATTGGCCTTCCAAGCTCTGCATTTCCCAGCATGTACTTCTCCAGCGAGCCACACTGGCTTCCTTGTTGCTCCTCACACACAAGATCCCATCTCCCATCTCCTGCCTTTGCACAGAGTGCACCCCCACCCCATCTCTCCCCTTAGAATCTGTGACTTTCTGCAAAGCTCAGCTCAAGTGCCCTTCTTTCACCGAGGCCGCTGATGGCCAGGTAGTTAGAACAGTGGGCCTGGGGTGAGAAAGACCCAAGTTCAAATCACTTACTAACTGTATCACCCTGGGGAAGATCACTTAACCTTGGCTGCCTCAGTTTCCTTAATTGTAAAATGGTAATAATAAGGCCAGCTACTTTCCAGGGCCCGTCACAGAATAAAGTCTTATTTATTCCCCTCCCCTTTTCTTAAACCCCTTTGAAGGCTAGTGCCCTGTCTAACCTCCAATTAACTGGTGTTTATTTTTCATTTACTTGTAATGTGCACACATTGTCTCCCCAGATGGAGGGTAAATTCCTTGAGATCAGGGACTGGTTCATTTTTGCCCTGGCCTGGAAGATCGTTGGTGCTTATTAATGCTTCTCGCTTCATCACCCTGATCTCATGACCTCAGACAAAGAATTTTCACCTTCCTCCTGGACAGGGATCCTTCAGGTTTCCCTCGTTCCAGCCCTTGTCTCTGGGAGGACCTGCCTGCCCCTTTAAGAACCCCAGCTGTATTTCCTCAACTTCCCTTGGCCCATAACTTTGATCTGGACTCTGAAGGCAGAGCCTCTGACCCAGGAAATGGTCCAAAGGAGAGAGCAGACCTGCTGCTAGGGAAGCGACTGGAAGAAGTGTAGAGATGGAGAAAACCCAGGGAAAGCTCTCTCCCTTTTCCTCCCCTCTCTCCCTCCATCTGAGCCATACTGGTGGAGGGGGCCATTGAGTTTAGGTTCAGAGGGGCTTTGGAAGTGTGGCCATTGAAGGCCCTGAGGGCAGCCAGATGCTGTCCCAACCTCTCCTTCCTCTCTTTGCAGTTTCCCCCACCCTCTAGTAACAAAATGGCTTCTGACCTTCACAACTTAAAGATCATTCTCCTGAGCTGGAAAAAAGAAAAGTAAAAGAAGTGTTTAGTAGACTCACTTCTCACTTCACTGCTTGCATTCCATTCATCCCAAGGAGCTGTCCTGTACCTTCTCTGATACCCATCCCAGATCCCAGGAACATAGACCGGCATCGTCCTAAAATGTCCTACAATCGAACCTGCTTGTTTTACAGATGAGGAAACCGAGGCCCAGAGCAGTTAAGTAATGTATAGCATGATAAACAGAATGATGAATATGGTGGCTCCGCAGAGACTTGAGTTCAAATGTCACCTCTGACATTCACTACCATGGTGACCAGAGGCAAGTCATTAACCTTTCAAATTATGTTTCCTCTGTGCTATAAGAAATGATGAGCAGGTTGATTTTCGGAAAACTTGGAAAGACTTGCATGAAATAATGTAGAGTGAAATGAGCAGAACCAAGAGAGTGTTGTACACAGTAACAGCAATATTGTTCGAAGAGCTGGGATGACTGAGTTGTTCTGAGTATTATAAGTACTCAAATCAACTAGAAAGGACCCATGAAGAAAGATGCTTTCCACCTCCAGAGAAAGAACTGATAAATAGAAGTATGCGTAGTATGGTTTTACATATGTGTGTGTATACATATACATACATATATATACACACACATACATATATGTGTGTACACATACATACATGTCTGTCAAATGGTGGCCTCTAGAGCTGGGTGGGGAGTGAGGGAAGGAGACAGTTTGGAATATAAAATTAAAACTTAAAAAAAACCCAAAATAAATTTTTTTTTAAAAATCATGTTTCCTCATCTGTAAAGGGGGGAGTTCACAAAAGCTGCCTCCTTGACTTAGGCGACTCAGATGACATAAAGTCTATGAAGAGCTTTGGACATTATGAAGCACTGAGTGTCACTGCCCAGGATCCCACAAGGGCTGTGTGACAGAGCCGGGATTGGAATACAGACTCACAGTGACTACATTGATATAAATGGAAAAAACAAAAAACAACAACCCTAAATGCTGTGAAATGATAAAAGAAGAAGCTGATCTCCTCGGAGACATGGTAAGAAGTCACCTTCCCCTGCTTTTGCAGCAGTGAGAGTCCCTGGGTGTAGAAGGTTGCATATAATGTCATTTGTTGGGGGGAGGGGATGTATTTTATTTGGCTAGTTTTTTAAAAAATTCATTGTTATAAGGCATAATTCTCTGGGACAAGGGAAAGAATTGGGGGGGGAATCAAAGTAATTGTAAAACTAAATATAACAGTTCAAAAACTTTAAAAAGCAAGGAAATTCAAAGTAATATGGGGGTGAAGGGACACCAGATAAGAGTTGCAGAGGCCTGCCTTGTTTTTGTCTTTGTAATAAGCTGCCACTTAGATCAGGCTTTAAGCAATGTGCTGGGAAATGCTTAACACCTAGCTCTCCAAAAATGAAAAATAAAAAAAGTGCTTTGCAGCACACTTTCAGTTTAGTCAACAGTATTAACATTTTCTCCAATCCCTTCTGGAATCTAGACAATGAACAAAGCAACAGATGATTCGTAATGTTTACTGGTTTCCGAGGTGTTAATCCTCACTGAAAATGTAGGCTCCCAGCCTTGACAGCCGGCTCTAGGACTCCCCTGAATTCAAGGGTCACAAAATACCTGCCATCCTTTTCTCATTTCTCCCCTTAGTACCTAACTCTAGGCTTGTCACACACAGTGTGGGCATTCTGATCAATGCTCACTGAATCCAACTCAACCCCATTATTGCCCCACTTGACCAAGCTTGACGGTCCCCTGCATAAGGATTCACAGTGAACAGTTATCTAGGGACAGAATCATCCTCTGGCATGGTCTCTCAAATCTACAAAGCTCCCAAAGGAGCTTTACTACAGTCCTGTGACATAGGTACATTAGGTGTTATTGTCACCCACATTTGCGTTCACGGAGGTTAGGTGCTTTTCCCAGGGTCATGCACCAAGTTGGTATGGGAAGCAGGATGTGAGCCCAATTCTTCTGGAACGTCTGTATAGGACCCTACCCATTAGCAAGACCATCTCTCCCCTTAAAACAATTAAAATACAATAATTTAGACCCTCCTACACATTTGCATCTTGATATAAACCATTTCTTTTCTAAGATTGTCTTTCAGCCTAGAAGCACATTTTCAGAGGACATTTTGCAAATAAGGAGAGGCCATCAGTGGTTCCAGATCAGTCAACAACCTTTATTGATCAGTGACTATAGAAACCACCTGCCGGTAGCCAAAAAGCTTATGTGGGCCAAGGGCCTTTTAAGAAGAGAGGGACAAAGTGTATTTGTAGTGAGCTAAAGAAATGATTGCGATGGACCATTTCAGTGCCTTCATTGTTTCATGGGATTTCCAGAAGCCAAGACTCTCATACAGTCTTCTTGCTGGGTAATTCAAGCTGGCAGTGGTCAAGACAACACCATTGTACCCCTTGTCCTGAGCAAAATGGAGCACGGTCTGAACCAAGATCTTGGCAATGCCCTGGCCTCGGTGGTCCCGTCTTACAGATAAATGTAGCAATTCCAGATCTTTCTGTGTTCCTGAAACCTCTCGTGCTGGGCAGGCACACACCAAGCCCACCGCCTGACCCTCTGACTCTGCCACCCAGAAACAGGATCCTTTGTTGTTTAGGTAGGATGCCCTGATGTCCCACATGTCAGTGTGCAGAGCATGGTCTACGTAATAGGAGAAGGGATACCTAGCAACCAGCCACAGGATAGCCAAGAGTCCCAGGAGGGCCAGGAGAGACAGGAGGAGGGAGCCACAGCCAAGCAGCAGGGCGCCTGGACCCCCCAGCAGGAGCAGGAAGCTTCTGGGCTGTTTCAGCTGATACCAGAAATTGTCAGCAACTTGCTGCATCATTCCGTCCGCGAATATGGCCCTCACCACATGCCAGTCTTGGTCCTGGTATCTCCGGATTTGGCAGGGAGCCATGGAGGCTGCTTCTTCTATGTCCTAGGAACCCTGTGGGTGAAATCCAAGTGAGCCTCTGCCTTTCCTATTCCTCCAGCTCCCTCCTGCCTGCCTTCATCACTCCATCTTTCCTCCCAAAGCCTACCTCCTGCCTCTGAACCCCAGAGAGGACACAGCCTGATGGGAGGGCAAAGGAGCTCCAGCTCATCACTCTGCCCTCCAGAAACACGCCACCTAGGGATGCTTAAGGGGGCAGACGCAGCTGGAGATAGGGAGAAAGAAGTAGCATGGTGCTCTCAGACCCGTCCGGGACCAAATCTTCCCATGGGAGTGGAATGCATGCCCACCCAGTCCCTAGGCTCCAAGGCAGAGGATTTCCCCAGCGAAGGTGCCCTTTCCCTCTCCTCACCTGCGCACCAGACTGTTTAGTCGTTACTCAAGGGAGTTGCCTGTTTGCTGCAATCTACAGCAAACTCTAACCCATCCTCCTCTCTGGCCACTCCCCAAGGTCTCCATGGGAACTCCCCAAGAAGTCTGGCAGAGGACAATGGCTTTCCTTAGGCAGGGAGCCTCCGCTGCTCCCTCCCTCCCTCCCTGGGGTTTCTGCCCTGCTCTCTCCCGTTGAAGGCTTTCACAGTCTTTCTCCATAGTCTGTCATTTCCAAAGAAGAAAAAACAAACTATGGTGAGATACTTAAATTTATGTTCACATCTACACTTTACAAAATAGCAGCCAAGGACATCTCACTATTATTTCATTTATAAATTGTTTTAAAAAGTTGTAATATTATAAATAATCATAAGGCAGCTAGGTGGTACAGTCCTGGAGTCAGGAAGACTTAGTTCAAATCTGGCCTTAGACACTTACTAGCTGTGTGACCCTGGCCAACTCACTTCACCCTGTTTGCCTCAGTTTCCTCATTTGTGAAATGAGCTGGAGAAGGGAATGTTAAACCACCCAGTATCTTTGCCAAGAAAACCCCAAATGGGGTCACAAAGAGTTGGACTGCCTGAAAATGACTGGACAAATAAATGATCGTAAGTCTCTATTTTTCTTTTATTCTTAGTGGCAGTGTGAGCTAGTAGGTAGAGTTCTGTGTTTGGAGTCAAGGAGCTGGCCCAGGGCCTTTTCCCACTATTTCCAACATAAGCTTCCCACAAAAGCTTTGTTGTAAACACTTGGCTGCTGCCACCATGAGAAGTGGGACAGACACAGGCATCCATCTATTAAGTGCCTACTGGGAGCAGAGCATCATCTAGGAGAGAGGGAGAAAGCCGCTTGGATCAGATATCCTCCCTGCTCACCTGGCATTCCTATCTCGACGCACAGCTTCCTCATTCTGATATGCAGTGTTATATGGGGAGAGAAGCATAATGGCTAATTAACAGAGAGCTGTGGTTTTAACAGACATAGCGATAATGGGGATGAATAAACGCACATCTTGGCTTTCAAGAATTCCATGAGTCATGTGGAATGTGCAAGTCTGGAGGAATGGAGTTAACTCTCTAGTGTCTGTGAATGCTTTCTTTCCCCTCTAAGGAGTCAATCCTAGAGCATCATATAAGTTAGGAGGACTAGCTAGGTCCCTGAGGGAGTCAGAGTCTCTAGGAAGAAGGTACATCTCTTTGTGACTCTTAAGTGTTTTCCTCTACCAAAGGGAATGTTGACCCTAGAGTGGAGTCCTCTAAATCTTTAGGACTGTATAGGTGTCTGTTGTATAGCTCTGGTGGTGTGTGGCTTATCTAACAGTGCCTAGTTCTATTACTTTCTCAATTTTAGCATGATATTATAAAGCTGGAATACCGTCTAGGTCCCTGGTAAAAGCAGAGACTCATTGGAGACAGGAGAGAAGTTTTATGTATTCATGGGCTCAGCTGTGAGCCTTTTCTGTTTGATATTTTCTCACTGGGATAAATAAAGGCTGTTTTATATTTGGTAATATTGTTAGCATAAGTATTCACACGGAAGCTAACAGTGGGGTACTGGTAAATGTTTAACAACTGGCTTTCTGGGGTTGGGGGGTACCTTTTTAGTTTAATCTGCATCATTCAAATTTTCTCCATCACTTTCTTAGATCTAGACAGCCAAAAAAAAAAGCAAAACAATAAATCACATCCTGATTTGTAGTATTTGCTGATTTCTGAGGTGTAAATGCTCACAATGAAAATTTAACAACCAGCTGGCAGGAGCCATAGGAGCTGGTTTCAGCATACCCCTGAAGCTAGGTCAGTTTTTATTTTATTTTATTTTATTTGACCTTTTCTGCAGAAACCTAGACATGAGAAAAATGTAGGTGTTCCCAGGGAAAAAAGGAGGAAGTAAGGGAAATTATTTGTGAGAACCCCATGTCCTCTCCCTCCCCCTAGACACACACACATACACACAAACACACACACACACACACACACACACACACACACACACACACACACACACACACATGCAAACATGCACTGAATTATTTTGCAGCAATTCTTCTAGGTTTATTTCCCCCAGGCAAACCATTTGATATATGCAAAAAAATGTACTATGTAGGATTTGAGGGGGAAGGTTATTACCAAGAGGTTTTGTCAGGTCAGGCTTTTAGTAGGAAGCAGTGGTTAAGCTCGACTTTGAAGGATGGATAGAAATTTGAAAGGTAAAGAGGAGAGGGAAGAATGAGGAACAGTGTGGGCAAAGGTGTGGAAATGGGAAAGTGCTGAACACACTGAGGATATTGAAGGTCGTCCCATTAGGTAGTGGGGGAAAAAAAGGGGAGTGGAAGGAAATAAGGGTTTAAAGACAGAAAGGGGCCAGAATGTGAAGGGCTTCCGATGTCAGGAAAAGGAGTTTGACTTTTCCCGAGGGGGCAGTAAGGAGACACTGAAAGTATTGGGCTGAGGAGTCAAGTCAATAAGTCAACAAGAACTCATTAGGTACTTACTATGTGCCAGGCACTGTGCTAAAACTGGAAGTACAAATGCAGGCAAAAAGAAAGATTGTCTGAGAGAGGATTCTGGGAAGATGGCACAGTAGGTCAGAAAATTCCAGGCTCTCCAGATTTCCCCCATGAACCCAAAATAGTTCCTCAGCATGAATGTATAGCAGTAAAAATAAACAAAAGTGGGGGCAGAGCAGGGTCCTCCTGGGACAAGTGGAGAAGATCAGAAAAAAAATCCTAGAAGAGTGGCTTGTTTCCTGTGTAGTGTGAACACCTCCAGGCTAGCTCCGCAGGAACAGCAACCTGGGACCCCAGGGTGAGCTGGGTTAGGAGGTATCCTAGCCCAGCCACAAGAATTCTCACCTCCTGGACACTGTGGGGAATGTGGCATCAGAGCAGGGGACGATTGAGGGAACTTCTGCTGGTAAGGGGCACCAGGCCCAGCTGTGCTGCAGAGACATGGCCCTGGCTGAGAAGGAACCAGCATAAGCCAGATGAGTGCAGAAGCAGTGGGGTGGGGCACTGTTGGCTGTAGACACTAACAGGGAGACAGAGTTCTGGGGTCTGCTTCCAGGCCAGAGGGAAGAACTGAAGGAGGACCTGAGGCCAGAGGCACCATCCCCCAGGACTAGAGGTGATTACAATAACAACTTGCTATAAATTTAAAACAAAATGAGCTGGCAAAGGAGAAAGAACCCAAACATAAAAAGTTACTGTATGAATATAGAAGACCAGAGTTCACCTTCAGAGGAAGTTACTGAAGCAAAAAAAGCCTCTCCTACCCCCAAAGAGTGAGTCAAAGGGTCACCAGCCCAAAAATAATTCATAGAAGAACTTAGAAAAGACTTTAAACATCAAATGAGAGAGATTAAGGAAAAATAAGAAAAAAAGAACAATTCGAGAAAAACACGACAATTATGAAAAAAAAGTCAATCAACTGGAAAAGGAGATCCAGAGCCTTTTTTTTAAACGTAGAGGAATCTTTATTTGTTGTTTTTTTAAAAATTGTTGTTGCTGTCTTCTTATGTTATCTCCATCTTTGAATGGTATATACCTTTCCTCCCCTGTATCCAACAAACTGTTCTCTGTAACAAGGAGTTTTAAGAGAGAAAAAGAAAGCAGATTAGCAAAGCAAACCAATAGATCTATCAAGTTTGATAACATGTGAAATTTCCAACTGGTCTCTCCCCTCCAAAGAAGGCAGGGAGGGGCAATTTCTCATCTCTTCTTCAGGCTGTTTGTCCAGATAATTAAACAGCATCTAGTTTCCTTTTTTTAATTGCTCTTTCCATATAAATTACTCTAGTCATTAGATATATTGTTTTAATAGTTACACTTATCTCAGTTTGCACTAGTTCATATGTCCTCTCATGCTTTTCTGACTTTTTTCCGTATTCTTCCTTTGTCACAGCACAGTAATATTTCATTTGTATATTCATGTACCACAATTAATTGCAATATTCTCTAATCAACAGGCATCTAGTGTGTTTCTCGCTCTTTGTTGTTACAAAAGTGTTGCTAAGTGTGTCTTAGTGTATATAGAGCCTTCATGTCCCTGACCTCTTTGTGGTATATGTATAGCAGTGAGATGCCTGGGTCTAAGAATATCATCATTTTAATCACCTTCTCAGGATCCTTCCAAATTGCTTTCCATAAATGGTTGGACCAATGTACACCTGCGTCAGTAGCCTTAAAGCCACAATCCCTGCAACCTTCATCATGCCTGTCTTTTGTCATCATTGCCACTTTGAGGTGAAATTTCAGAGTCGGTTGATTTTTATTTCTGTTATTATTAGTGCTTTGCAGCAGTCTTTCTTAGGGTTATTAATAGTTTGCAAATATTCTTTGGAGAACTGTTTCTTCATATCCATAGATCACTTGTCACTGGAGAATGGAGTACTGTATCTTCCCACTCTAGGGTAGATCTTAGGAAGTTTTACTTTGATGATCCTCCAGTGCCTTCTAAGTGGTCTTTGGCGTTTGTGGCCTGAGAAGTCTGGAGACCACCGCAGCTGCCCATGATTCAGTCCTCTGAGGCCTGCTCCAGGTTCACTGAGGCCTGGTCTTTGCCTGCACTTGCCCACACTAAACTGCCCGGCAGGTTAGACCTTTCTAATCAACCATCCAGGTTGTGTTGGGCTGGAAATTTGTTTCACTCTATCTTTTGTGCGTTCTGCTGCTCTAGGATTTGTTTAGAGCCATTTTTTTACAGATATTTGGAGGGGTTTGGAGGAGAGCTCAAGCAAGTCACTGCTTTTACTCTGCCATCTTGGCTATTCCAGCCTCCCCCCCCGCCCCGATCCAGAATCTTGAGAAGAAAATGACTCCTTAAAAATTAGAATTGGGCAAGGTGAAATTACTGAGGTTATGACAGACCACCAAATAATAAAACAAAATATAAAGAATGAAAAAATAGAAGAGAACGTGTATCATCTCACAAGAAAAACAACTGATCTGAAGAATAGATCAAGAAGAGAAAACATAAGAATAATTGGAGTATTTAGAAGCTATGATTAAAAAAGGGTCTTGATACAATAATTGATATAATAATACAAGAAATAATTAAAGAAAATTATCTGGAAGTGTTAGAACAGGAAGGGAATGTGGTAGCTAAATTCCAAGACCTCCAGCTCAAGGAGAAAATATTTTAAGAAACAAGAAAAAAAGAATTCAAATATGGCAGAGCCACAATTAAAATCACACAGGACCTAGCAGCAGCTACACTGAAAGTCCACAGGTCTTGGAATACCCTATATGGAAGAACGAAAGAACTGGGGTTGTAGCTAAAGCATCATACCCAGCAAAGCTAAGCATAATCCTGAACAACAAGAACAAAAAAAGTGAATATGCAATGTATTACCAGACTTTCTGGATTTTATTGCCAAAAGTCCTGAACTT